TCCTACTGGCATGTAGAATGCTACCATGGAATTTAATGATGCTGGTGTCCCCTTCACCAACATATTCCTGATGGCCTCAGTGGTTGGTGCATCTTCTTTGTGTTCCTTTAGAAGCATATAATCCTCTCTTCAGGTTTCTTTTCCTTAAATAGTATATCCACTCCACCATGTCTCATTGCTGAGATTTTTAGCAGAATCTTTTCATGCCTGCCTTGGTAATTTAGGCATTTCCCCTTCCTTTAGTGTAGTCCATCATTTTCTCCATGTTTTTAGGAACTACCATACCAACCAGTTTGTACTTTCTCTTCCATATCTTTGGAGTAGTGCCACAAGTTCTAACTCTTTTTATCTTGTTTTATATCCTGGCACCCTTAATGAGATACTTGAAAAATCCAGTCCTATGAAAAACTTCTCTGGATTTTACCAGTATATCCCAGCCAATACTTTGGTTTTGTATCAGGTGCAGCATGTGCTGAGATGCTTTATGCTACATCTTACTTATTAGCCTGCAAGCCAAGAGAAGAGACACAGTCCACTCTTGAGGCCAGGCTTGGGAGTGATATTATGTGCCAGTTCTTAATAGTGATAAATGGGTTACAAGTAAAGGCTTTCAGAATGGAGAGGACCCTGAGAACCAAAATCTTTGGGGGGCATCCACCCAGATAAACTTGTTCTGCATACTAGGTCTCAGGTGTTCCACCAGAAGAACCTTGATTTTTGCATAACAGTCATGCTTTGGTTGATAATTCAATTATCTTTGCAATTTTCAACTCTTAAAGTTTCGGTTTTGTCTTCAAGTTATACTCCTTTTCTACTGCAAGAGACAAAAGTCTTTTCCAACTACCAAAGAGAAATTTTGGTCTTCATATTTCATTTTCAGTATTGGTTGAAATCAAAGACCTTTTCATTATCCTTCTGTAGGACAACAACACACCTGGTGATAACTAGTCAATTCTATTGGTCATTCCCCTTTACATTTTAAGTGCTAAAATCATTGCATTTACCTTTTCTCTGAGAATAGTCTTGTAAGTCACCACTGGTGAAATTTTTAAATAGTTTTGCTGCTTCTTTATGTCAGGAACTATTGCTAGCTCACATGTCATCTATAGTGAAATACTCTCTCATTGTAAGGCCCACAGAGGGTAATCCATTCCCAAAACTCTGGAGGATCTGAACCAAAATGAGGAACATTTCCACTTTATGCACAAAGCAGGGAGGGATCCAATTATTTGCAGGAGTTCTTGTTTCAAAACAGAAGTTAATTGTTAATAAAATTACAAACCAAAATTATAAAACCACACAAAATTACAAACCAGTGAGCCAATCAACCAATCAACCAATATAGTAAAGTGTTTATAAATAGAGATGAATTGGGAAGAAAAGAAAAGATGAATATTAAAGACAGAGTTGGAAAAGAAAAGAAAATCTATGGTTAGTATAAAGACCAAAAGTGAAATGTTTTATATTTTGAAATTTTGAATGGTGTGGCAGGAAAGGGAACAATACAAAGAAATCTAAAATAAATGTCAACCCCAAATCTTGGTCAAGTATGACACCTAGAGGATGCACAAACAGAATTCCTTTGGGTGATTTTTAAATTTTTTAAGGTGCATTTATATCAGGAAAGTTATTTTAAAATGGAAATCCATATAGACTTCCCTATGTAATGTTCTATCAACTATTAATTTTATTTATATGATTTATTTATTATATTCATAAAAACAATGATTAGAAATAGTTTCCCTTTCCATCAAGTACTGTAACTAAATTTTTAATAATCACTTTTAAATACTGGTACTAATGACAGGAAGCCATTTTCCATATAACTTATGGGTCATAAAGTGTGTTTATATTCTTATGTGCTAATAAAAGAGAAAAAAATACATAGACTTGTTCATTGCCTCGTTCTCTGGAGTCTAGAAATGATGGCAAAAATAACAAAGGTTGATTAAAGACACCAAGTTAGAGGTGATAGGTTCAAAATGGTCTCATTTCTAAATATTAAAAAAATCTGCTTTGCATTTGTCATTCATTGGTTTGGAAAACTTTTATTGCCCTCATTAATACTTGAACAGTTCTTTATGAAAAATGATGAACAATTTACTTCATGGCAGGCTGTACAGATGGTCAGTTTAATGTGCATCCGTGAGACTTCTCACGACTAAATTTCGGCACTGTGTCATTAAACATTTGTGTTATTTGTACCATATTCTAGAAAACAAAGATTGCTATTTCTTGATGTTTATCAGTGTTATTGAAAATATATATTATATATAATATGTATATGTATAATATATACATAAAATATATATGTATAATGCTTTCATCTCAGAGATTCACAACTTTTTAATTCTTCATTATACTAATTACATTGTTATAAACAGATATGTGGCAGTGGCGGAAACACTTGTTCATATGACATAGCTCCTGTAATATGCCCAAAGATGTCATTACTACTACCAAGTGATTTTGAGTGTATGAATGCAAGAGTCCCCCCCACCCAAACCCTTGAATAAGTAGAGATTAAAAGAGGTAAACTAGTTGTTGACTAGTTTCAAACACTACAGTAGAATATGTCATCCTAGTTGTGTATTTTAAATGGCAACCAATGTTGACCTTGTTTCTATGTATAATGCTTGAAATTATAGCTATAATATTTACTCTGGGCCAGTCAAGTAATTATTACACAATTATAGATTAATACACAGATCTGAATCTTAAGTTTTATTTTCAGATTAAGCTATTAAGCATGGCATCTAATGACTTTTCTAAGGGAGATAATTATCCTACCCATTAAATTGTACTAACTTGACTCCTTACATTCTCTGTTCCCTGTTATATAATGAATTTCCATGTGGCAAATTGATTTGGGGCTTCCCAAGATTGCATAGAATGAGCTGATATTAACAGAGTATCTCCAATGTGAATTCTCCCTGTGGTAGAGTTAGAGGATTTTGGGGTTTAGGGCACTAACAATAGCTGAGAAGTATAAGTGGACAGAGTAGTACAAGGTTTCCCCATGGAGTGGAATCTCATGCAGAGCTTTCCCTGAGAGGACAGGAACCAGGGACCAACAGCAGCTCTCATTTTCTTCTGTGGTGTAGCTGTTGAAAGAAGTGCTCCTTCAGGGAGCCATACATTAGGGGTTAGGATCAGGATTTCTTTGTATCCCTTATCAATCTATAATCTTTTGATTGTTGCCTGTTTTTCACCAGTGAAGAAATAGTAATCCACACTAGCTTGTCTCTGCTGATCATAGACTCACAGAGCTAGGGCTCTCTGAGCTTTTAATTCCCTCTTAGAGGCCTAACAGAGAGAAAAGTAAACAAAGACCAAATTTGCAACCTTCAATGTAGCTGATTTCCTCTGATGTCAGAATACTTAAACAGGCAGGACCTAGGAATTATTTGATCAAACCTGCTTTTAATCTAATGCATGCAGAGGGCTGTGTCTGGAAGGCTCTGCAAATGACAAATGTCCCCAGGGAGCCTTATGGAAGGTTTCCTCTTTCAGAAACAGTAGCTTCCTCATTTTCAATCCTGGGTTGCTGTGAGTTTGAGTACATTCATAAAGAGCAGTCTTTCTGCTTTTTAAATGTTATTTTATTTGGCAGAAAATTGCTAACCATATGAGAACAGTTTTGTTTGGTTTTCTGTTTGCTGGGATTTGAATTGGCGAAGTGCCTTATTACTATTTTAGTTTTACTAGGAAATAAATTAATAATGAAAGATTGTTATTGTGGGAAAGGGAGAAAGAGGGGAAGGATAAAGCATTATCTGACTTCACATATTCTATTACTGCTGACATAAGAAAGTGAAAACACAAAGAACATAAGACAAAAAAACATGTGATTCCTTACTTAGATTATGAAAGGCATTTTTTTTTGTTTTTTACTGTAAGCATGAAGAGAAATCTGGGTCAGGAATATTAAAAGTGAAGAATTTGCTAATTAGGGTTTGATAATGTAGACCAGTGCTAGATAATTGTCTAGCATGCACAAGGCTGTGGGTTCAATTCCATCATGTACAGCAGCAGCAGCAGCAGAAGTGGCAGCAGCAGCAGAAGTGGCAGCAGCAGCAGCAGCAGCAACAAGAATTTACTAATTGGGAGCTGTCCTAAAATGTTACTGACTCAGCTTCTTAACTACCTAGGTATCTCAAAATAGCATATTTTCAACAGAGAGAAGTAAAGGAATAGAATTTTTTATTTACTTCATATCTGGAATATGGCTTTCTGATTAGTTTTTGTAAAATTCGATTTCCTTACGTACTTCTTAGATACAAATTCAATTTTATAGGCTATTACAAGAATGTACTTTAATTTGTCTAAGATCAACAATGCTCACTTCTTATTGAGGATGATTGCTTTAAGATAAAAACAGCATAAGAAAGTGTGCAAGAGCATTTTGACAGTAAGTAGTCGTGTCTGTTGCTTCGCATTTCCCGTATCTTATCATAAATACTGCTCCTCACATAAAGTAATTCAGAAGACACGGAGGCTTAAAAATAAATTATCAACACGAATGCTTTGTGTAAATATGCACCAAGAATAACATACCAGTATATCTAGCATTTGACTCCTTGGTTGCTGATGAATTTCAATGCCAGTTATTCATCATTCAGAAGTCTGCCGGGTGATGATTCTTTTTATTGGTACTTCCTCCCCAACATATTTCATCGCACCATGTGCACTGGAGTTCGGGTGGGGAGGCGGGTCCGGCGCTGCCCGATGGCCGGCTCCTCTCCGGCTCGCTCGCTCCCCGTCTCGCGCGGGCACGCTCACCTCCCCCTGCCTGCGCAAGCCCCTCTGCTCCCCGCGATTCACAACCCCCTCCTCTCTCTCCAGCTGGTGGCGGGGGCTGCGCAGCTTCCCAGAGCTCCGGACCTGCTCAGTCAGCTGGGGCCCCCTGTGGACGGCCGCCTCCTTACCCCTAGGACCTGCCACTCTGCGATGGCAGCGGCAGACGCATCCCCGCCAGCGGCGGCAGAGGCTGTTGTGTCCTCAGCCACCGCGGACGCTATTGTTCCCCGTTGTTAGACTCTCTTTCGCCTCTTTTCATCGCAAGCGAACAATAGCAGGAGAGGGCTTTGCTGTCGGTCCTCCTCGGGAAGAGGTTCCGAGTGGGGAGAAAAATTCCCGGCGAACGCACTTCGGGTCCGGACCCTGGAGCGGCTGCGGGCGGCATGGCGTCTGGGAGCCTGGGCGCAGCGGGACCCCGCTGGGGCGTCCTACAGTCTCGCCTGCTGCTCCTACTCCTGCTCTTGCTGGGCCCCGGCCCCGGCTGGGTTTCGGCGCAGGGCGAGGCAGAGGCACCCAGCCCCTATCTGTGGAAGACAGGTAAGTAGCACGGAGTTGCCCCTTCCTCCCATCTCCACATCTGGGTCCCCCTTGAAGAGCTGCTGGGCTCCTAAAGGGACCCTTGTCCTTCTAGATGGCCCGATTATGCCGGGATCCTAAGGTGAAAAGTATGATTCCTCCAAGCAAATTAGGTCATGTCAATGCTCTTAGGAAAGAAAAACATTACAACTAAGAGCCAGCCGTGAGTCATTAAAATATTTCTCTCACAGCGCTGGAGTTAATGAGGGCAACCCTGTACTTTCAGGACAAAGTGAAATTATTTTTAACCTCTGGGTTCTCGTTGCTACCAGGGGGTTTTAAAATATGTTCCTAGCAAAGAACAAGCAAACAGTTTAGCTCCAGGTTTTATTCTGCTTTTAGGCACTCAACTATGCTCAGTGGCTCGGTATGTGCGAATACAGAGTTGAATTTGTTAAGTGCAGCTTTGTGATTTGTGGGGCATTCCGAAATCAGTCAAATAGGGACGATTCTAGCAATCAAAGGCAAAGGGGGCTCCAAGGAGCCGGTAGGGAAAATTGTATAAAGCTCAGTGATTTTTTAAAGTAGGCACTTGTTAGGATGTTTGCTTTTAAACTTTTTCCTTCTATGAGAATTCTTTTGCTTTGTTTTTCAACCAACCAACAAAAACAACAACTAACTGCCCCTCTGTAGATCCTGGGAAGTGCTCAGAGGTCCTGAAGCTGTGACGGGGGAAACAATACCAAGGGGAACTGCCCCACCTTCTCTGCCTGCTTGCTCTCTCTGTCCACTAAAGGACAGTGAGGATTCTTGCGCAAGACTGAGACTTCACATGCTCACAGGAAGAAAGTGGGGAAAGATTATTCCTGCTGCTTAGAGCCTGGGACGATGTAAGAGTTCCTTGACAATGCTTCACGATGGAGAAGAATAAGGTAGAAAGGGAGTCTCTGTTCATCACGGGATTGCAAACTAGTTACCAAGCAGGGCTTTTCCCTAGCTTCCAGCCCATTTCTGCAACCCTGCAGAAGAGACAGGCCAATGTATACTACAATTGGATTGATATCCGGAATTGTTAAAGAAGTTACATTATCCAGCAGCTTAGTGAAGAGATTAAACGAATTTATTTAAAGGCAGAGCACAGAATTTGCCTTGGGATACTGCAGGATATGTGCCTATGCACCCACACACACTTGAAAGTAAGCAAAATCACTCTTGTTAACACTTTCAAGTTTAAAGATTAGTTGATTAATGGATGAATATGAAATCAAATGAATTTATATGATTTAAAACAGTGGAAGGTGTTCTTTTCGAATTTAGTTAAGGCACTCATTTCACTTTTTAAAAGCTCATTCTCAATGACAAACATTAATCTAACTACAATTTACTATTAAATGTTGTTAGTTGGAGCTTCTCAGGTAAGTAAATGTTATGCAGAACAGGACGTTCCTGTTGGAATTTGTACTGTTAAGCAAAACAAGAGCCAAGCAAGCAGTAATTCAGAATGAAAAGAGCCTAGACAATATTCACTGTGCAGCCTCCAAGGTGCCGATGTATGTCAACATCAATGTCATGGTAGGAACACAAGCCAATAAACAGCTTAAAATAGCGGAAAGCTCTAAGGAGCAAGGAGATGAAGACCTTGACTGGGGTGCCAGTCCCAGCTCTCACTGGCTGTGGGAATGTTGGCAGTTCACTCAACTTCTGACCCCTCATTTTCTCAGCTGCATATAAATGTGTTATCTACTTTTAACCCTCCTTAATGTTGTGAAAGCAAATGAGTGGTGAGAAAGTAGTTTGTAAAGTTACGTGCAAATATAATCTAGGATGATAAGGATAATGTTACCTCTTCCATGGTGATCCTTCATTTGGTGGAGGAGAAATGATGAATTAAACTAGAGAGAGATAATGCCCTCTTCATTTTTTCCATCAGGAGGGAAGTATACTTAGCGTGTCTGTAAAAGACTTGAAAGTAGTTCTCAGAGAAACTAGGCAATATGTAAAGTAAAGGAATACAATGTATGTGAAAATATAGAGGTGTAGAATCATAAGTGTTTATCACTTGATGAAAATCAAAATGCAAGTAAATTTATTTTAAATTATAAAAATGAAAAAGAAAGAGATAGGAAGGGCACTTGTAGAGAAGGTGATTCAGCTCAGAAGTTCTGATCCAGTGAGGTGAACATAGTCTTGCATGGAAGTTTATATAGAGAATCACTTTTATGGTGAAATCATTGAGTTGGTCATTAAAACTGGATGAATAACTGAGACGGGAACTTTTACTGTCATTAATATACTATATGATTTTGGTAAAGTTCTATGACTTTGGTCCTTGTGATATTCACTGGATAGAAAAGATGATGTTTAAGGACTTTTTCAGTCTGAAAGTGCTTCATTATGTGAATTCCTATGTAAATATGTATCATAAATAAACAGACACATATATAAACATGTTTTATTTATATCCTAATCCATATAACTGTGATATATAATATACAAATCTATTATGTGAGAGTTTTAAGTCAACTTACAACAAAGAATGATTGAGGATCTATAATCTACAGTCACTGTGGTAGAGGCTGAGGGAAATATTAATCTCTGCCCTCGAAAAAGATCAATGCTGTAAAGCACAATGATTGCCACATGGCATACTATACTCATGAACAGAACATTATGAGAGCAGAGAGACTACAGCTGATAATGAAAGTATGGAAAGTTTTAAAGAGGAGTTCATATTTGATCTTAATCTTGTAGGATGAGTTGGATTTTTATAGAGGGAGGAGTGAGAAGCAGAGAAAAGAGAAAATAAAAATTAGAAAGCATGACAGCATTCCTAAATCTTGAGAGTACTAGTAGAATACTGCAGCTCAAACCAGGACATTTGGAAAGAATGCCAGTGAGGCGAATGTCAGTGAGGTGAATCAGAACCAGACTGTAAAAAAACTTTTGAACTACAATAAAGATGTTAGAGTTTAATCTATCAGCAGATGGAGGACACTGAAACCTTCCAGTGGATTGACATATTGTTTGTTTCAAATGAAGAAAGGTAAATCTAAAGGCTGGGTTACCAGGTTCATGACTAGGAGTCAAAGGGGAAAAACATTATTATCATAAAAGGTATAGTGAAGAGTGAGTGGAGTAGGGCTTAATATCACATTGGAAATCTGTGAGGTTAGATTTAGGGTACAGAACATACCCTGGCATCCAGTAATTTAGGAACTAATGTCATCAAGATCTCCAAGTAAGATGAGGAATTGCAAGGATAATTGTTTTGGGAAAGTACATTATAGGTATAGTGATAGGCATCTTAACTTGATTGATAAATAAGGTAGTGGGAAAATATGATAGTAGGTTAAATAACCAAGTGCTTCTTAAATTCTGTGCTTCACTTTTGTTGTTTTGTAATAGAGAAAAACTCTAAAATTTAAGATATTGAAAAATATCTATTAAAATATGAAAATTAAATTTTCCACAGTTTTTTGTCATAGTCATAGTACAGAGGTGTAGAACTTTTATTTTTTAGAAGATTAAAAATCACTGTAACTGTTAAGTGGTGGGGAGTTTTGTGTTTTATTGCCCTCGCATATAAGATTGTTTCCAAAATAACTGTGAATAATTATATTCACCTGAAAGTTCCAAATTAAGCATGTAATGTATTCAGCAAAATATGACTGACTTAGTGTGAGTTAAACAAATATTGAATACATCAAAATTTTATTAACTTCTTTCATGGAGATTTATTTTTTAAAAGTCTTACTAACGTAATTGAATTGATATTCATGATAATGAAATTACACTGAAGCCTAAGAAATACACATATATTAGACATTATTCAGAAATCAGATGATGAGATTTTTCAGGTCTGATTTTTCTCAAGGAGAACATCTCTCACATCAAAACTTTTGCTTCATCCAATGCAAGATAATATTGTTGACAATAAATTTCCTTTACACAACTCATTTCATTAAAATACCTTCAACTTAAAGTTTAAAAGTCACCCTTTTCTTTTCCTTTCTGTATTTGTACTAATAATACTTACTAATCAATATAAAATATTCTGCAGTGTATATAGGAAGATAGTGTACTCCTGTCAATTATCAAGTAACAAAGGAGAGGAAGTTTCAGGTAGTTCTGACATGAAGGTGCCATTCCTAACACAGCTATTTTAACTTCAGTCATGCTTTCCACTTGCCTTTCTGTGGAACATGACAGAGTTTGCTCAACAAATGGAGGAGAGGATGGAAAAGAGTGGACAGGGGTGAGCACCAGTGTCAATGGAACATGGCCAACACCCATGGAAAATAAACATTCTATCCATGTTATCTAAAAAATTATCTCATACCTCAAATCTTTTTCTTCCATCTCTAATATGGATTCATGAGATGTATTCTATGGGATTTTCTATGGATTAAAATAGTAACATATATAATGTACTAGTAGAGTGTCTGGTACACATTAGAAGTTCCATAGATGATACTTTTAATTATTTCACTTATTCAGTTATATAATACAATCATAACTTATTTTTAGAACCTAGATCAAGTCCAGAAATGTGTTTTAGCTCTCTCTAAAGCATACCTCCCTTCCCCAGTCACTCTCTCCCTCCCACCCTCTGCCTCTCCCTTCCTCCCCAATCTCTTTTCTGTAAATTCACTAGAAATTATGAATTGATACAGATAATCAGAATGCTAGTACACCAACAAATTATAAAGAAGGTAATATTGTACAATAGAAAGAACATGGACTTTAGGTTTAGAAAAACCACTATGTAAATCTAACGTCTACCTGCCTAGGCAGGATACTTACACTCCATGATGTTTTCACTTTAGAAAGATAGTAGAAGTTCTAGGGAAAAGGGTACTGGTTGACATAGTAACAGCTAATAAACTAGAAACTATCCAGCGCAGTGCTCTAAATTTAGTAGACATTCAAAAACTGTTAGTTATTTTCTTAACCTATGTCATAACTTGTTAATTATATAAATAGACATTTTTATACTTTATTTGTTTTGGATCTCAAGATTT